GATTTGCATCTCGCCTCCTATAAAAGGAGCTCAACGCGCGAGCGACATCCACATTCGCTTCCCGTCTGTTCTGACCTGAAGCTGCTGCCTACGACGCGTCGACATGCCCGATCCTCCCGCATCAAAGAGCGCTGGGCCGGCCAAGGTTCCTGCTCCCAAGAAGGGCTCCAAGAAGGCTGTGACCAAGGCTACGCGCAAGGATGGCAAGAAGCGACGCCACCGCAGGAAGGAGAGCTACGCCATTTACATCTACAAGGTGATGAAGCAGGTGCACCCCGATACCGGCATCTCGTCCAAGGCAATGAGCATCATGAACTCGTTCGTCAACGACATCTTCGAGCGCATCGCTTCCGAGGCGTCCCGCCTGGCGCACTACAACAAGCGCTCCACCATCACTTCTCGGGAGATCCAGACCGCAGTGCGACTGCTGCTCCCCGGCGAGCTGGCCAAGCACGCCGTGTCGGAGGGCACCAAGGCCGTCACCAAGTACACAAGCTCCAAGTGAAGCCTCGACTCCACCATTAATTACAAAGGCTCTTTTCAGAGCCACCCACCTCTCCGAACCTGCTTGTACCAGTCCTAGCAGGAGTACTAAACGAAACTTCCAACAAAGCCCCGGTTCACGCGGGGACATTGTTCGCTCATTGAGTGGAATGGAGAGATGGAACGCATTTTAACCTGTTTCCACGTGAATAAAAGCGATAACAATATTCATGGCACATCATATTCACCAGCAGGCATTTCTTGGACTTGTTTGTCCATTGATTTCATCTGCAGCCCATTCAGATATTACATTGGATATTTGGTGCCAAAACCTTGCAATGCAATATATTTAATTCGTGGGTGTATTTTCGGGCAGGAACTAACATTTTGCACGTGTGCATCTATGTAAAAGTAAGCGCCTAGCATGGATGACTCGTGCAGTATAATTGATGATCATCATCTCAATGCCAAGAGAATAGATATCTATCCCTGTGATCACCTTTCCGACATTTTTACGTATTAACTTTGGAGCTTTCGTGACTGCAGGAATTATTCTTTGGTTCTTTCGGTAAAGTCACGTATATAAAAAACAAATTGGTGATATCTGTCTGCTTATATGTCTGTCTATAATTTTTTATGGTTAGATTTTGTCGCTATTTCATTATACCTGATGAGATTGCTTGTGTTGCAATCGAAACGTCGTATGCTATTATTAATTATTATTTTTTCTTTATACGTGACTTTACCGAAAGAACCAAAGAATAATTTTTACGTATTACTGTTTCCAATGAAGTGCAGTTTTTCACACTTTATTTAGATCACGCGGAGCACTGTAAAGTTGTTTTCGGAAAGGTGTTTGCTTGAGAAAATAACATCCGTTAAAGACATGGACGGCGCTCAAACGGAACTACTGCATCGTGATGCGGCATTCTGCAATGCTCCAAAGTGAGAACATTTCGTTGATGAAGAAGAGTTGACGACTCGAGATCATTGCACGCTGCCAACCAATCAGCACGCGCCCCTTCTTCGCACGTCACGACTCCGCTGACCAGTGAGCGCGCGCTCTGGGCTACATAAGCCGCCTTCTCCTCCCCGCCTGTGAGAATCTTTGCCCTCACCAAGCCATGGCTCGCACCAAGCAGACGGCTCGCAAGTCCACGGGCGGCAAGGCCCCCCGCAAGCAACTCGCCACCAAGGCGGCCCGAAAGAGCGCTCCGGCCACGGGCGGCGTCAAGAAGCCTCACCGCTACAGGCCCGGCACCGTCGCTCTGCGCGAGATCCGCCGCTACCAGAAGTCCACCGAGCTGCTCATCCGCAAACTGCCCTTCCAGCGCCTCGTCAGGGAGATCGCGCAGGACTTCAAGACCGACCTGCGCTTCCAGAGCTCCGCTGTCATGGCTCTGCAGGAGGCCAGCGAAGCGTACCTTGTCGCGCTCTTCGAGGACACCAACCTGTGCGCCATCCACGCCAAGCGCGTCACCATCATGCCCAAGGACATTCAGCTCGCCCGCCGCATTCGTGGCGAGCGCGCTTGAACGCCCAGCTCGGCCCTCAAAGCACAACACAAAGGCTCTTTTCAGAGCCACCACTTACTCGTGAGAAAGCTTCCATGTGTGTCCTTCAAAGTTCGGGTGCCGGAAACCTTCGGTTGCTGGTCACGGCTCTCACGGTCAGGCGTAAGCGACAATGCAAGTTCATTTTCTATACCCCGCCGCTCGTATTTTTCAACATCACACGTTGGTGTTGTATATAAGCGTTGTGAAACCATGTTTACATAGTGTACAACAAAAGGGTTATTTTGGTGAAATGTATTTTACCTCAGAGTGGCGTGGTGGGTGTGGAGGCCTCGCACCGCGCAGAGCCTCCCGCCTCGCCTGATTTTGCCACCCGGCTGACGCTGGGTACGGGTGCCGTTTCTCCCCCCCCCCCCCCGCGCTTCAATAATACTGTGTAATTGCTATAATTTAATAATCTACCGACCCTATATTAGTAATAGCACACATTGTGGTGGGGGGGGGGAGTAAAGAGGACGTGAAACTTAGATGAATTTACCTCAGAGTCGCGTGTTAATGCGTGCGCCTATTTTTAACGGGAATTAAAGATGGCGTCCACCCCGCAACTGCTAACCCGTCGCTAGCCGTTGCCAGGGACAACCGGCGTCCAATGAAAGTGCGTATGGTCCGACATCCACACACAGACAGACAGACATTCACGATTTTATATATATAGATTAAACCCAAAGATATTGGTGTATGCTGTTTCAAGCCCGAGCTGATAAGAAGTTCACATTTTGCAAACTGAGACTGAATTATTCACGCACATATATTTTTAGGCATTGCCCGAACAGGCGGTTAAAGAAAATATCTATACACCGTATAGGCACGTGGGCGATCAATCACGAGCTCAAGGCTATCACAATGATTTCTTATAACCAATGCGGTCCCTCAAAATGATGATTATAATCAATAATACATTGATATTTGCGGAATCCGCTTATAAGTTTGACTTGCCAGCACGCGCCCATAAATTAACTCTATCATGCTTAAAACTTGAACCTATTAAGTACGTGTATCGCATTGTTTAATTCATAAGATGCGTGTGCGCATTATTAATTCATAAGATGCGTGTGCGCATTAAAACATATATGGATACAAATAATGAAAGTCAACATCGAATCCTCGCGTCCCGGCTTGTCATTGGTGGCTCAAGGAGAGGGCGGGACTCGACCGAGAGGAGCCAATCAGCAGCGGCGCGCTCTACGATCCTCGTCTCCGCTATAAAAGCCGCTCCCGTGGTGCGTGTTAACGTCACAAATCGTTCGTACTTTGTCTCCAGTGCTTTTTGCATCCTAGGTCCCTTAACGATGTCTGGACGCGGCAAGACCGGTGGCAAATCTCGCGCCAAGGCAAAGTCCCGCTCTTCCCGCGCCGGCCTGCAGTTCCCCGTGGGTCGCGTTCACAGGCTGCTCCGCAAGGGCAATTACGCCCAGCGGGTCGGCGCTGGAGCACCCGTCTACCTGGCCGCCGTGCTCGAGTACCTTTCTGCCGAGATCCTCGAGCTGGCTGGCAATGCCGCCCGCGACAACAAGAAGACGAGGATCATCCCCCGACACCTGCAGCTCGCCGTGCGAAACGACGAGGAGCTCAACAAGCTCATGGGCGGCGTGACTATCGCCCAGGGCGGTGTGCTGCCCAACATCCAGGCCGTGCTGCTGCCCAAGAAGACCTCTCAGGCAAAGAAGTGAACGCGCCGCCGCCTCTACCACCACAACAACGGCTCTTTTCAGAGCCACCCACTTGCTTGCAAAGAGCTCGGACAGTCGTGCACAGGGGTTTTGTTATTAATAAGGACACCGTCGTCGAGTTGCCCTCGTCCCAAATTGCACGCAATTAAACGAATTCTCTGCTCATTCCAGATACCCTTTATATCTAATTTAGGAACGGTATTTGAGCAGCATTCCAACATTGCATCAATCATGGAACATGGTTTAGAATAAATTGAGGTGCCTATTGGAAGAAAGTATCGTGTTTTTTTAAAGAATAAAACTCGCTCTTTTTGAGCGGTCAGATTACATATGAAGAGGAGTCGGAGAATGGTTCAAGCACTTCAAGGGATCTGCGAGCCACCCTCACGCACCACGCACCACGCAAACACGACATCTCCGCTCTCACGACAACACGCACCAATCAATCTTAATTTTTTTTCACACACGCGCGGGAAATAAGAGCTGGACGGGGGGGTCAGGGGTTAAAGGGCAGTGACGTCACCCGGACCAGGCGTGCTGGATGCGAATGTGTATTGGGAGCGGAGATTGAGGAGTTAAAAGGGGCTGTGGGACGTGTGCCCGGGGTTGGTCTTGGAACGAATATTGCTGTGCGTTGGTGAAAACAGGTCCCTGTGGGGTGGGCTGGTAGGACCGAACAATTGAATGGCTATAATAAAATGAAATGGCAAAAAATGGGCGCCAATAAGTGGATGGAAACGTAGACGTAGTGGAACATAAGAAACAATAAAGTAGTAGTAACCGTTCTGCAAAAAACAATAGTATTGCACAAGTATGTACCTACGTGAGTGCAGCTTGGAGCAGACACAGTGAGTAGTAACAATCTGCACGAAATGCAGCGCCGTGGGCCACGCCCCTATCACTGTTAGCCCCGCCTCCTCGCCCCCGGTACTGTATTCTCGACTGTAGACTCCGCCCCTTTTCGCCAACGGCCCCTCCCTCCATCGCGCTAAGCTCCGCCTCCCACCGCTTGACCCCGCCCTCCACCCGCGTAACCCCGCCCCGCCACCCGTGGCCCCGCCCCATCTCGGTGTCCCCGCCCAGCCCCGCGTAGCCCCGCCCCCTGCCGCTGTAGCCCCGCCCGCTGCCGCGTAGCCCCGCCCCCTGCCGCTGTAGCCCCGCCCCCTGCCGCTGTAGCCCCGCCCCCTGCCGCGTAGCCCCGCCCCCTGCCGCTGTAGCCCCGCCCCCTGCCGCTGTAGCCCCGCCCCTTGCCGCTGTAGCCCCGCCCAATACACCCCGAGCGGGGGAGAGATTCCCAGGCCTGGCTCGGCTGGAGAGCCGCCGACGAGGGGGGGGAGGTAGGGAGTTGTTTTTAATGAAAAAGCTTTAAATGTAAATGTTTCTATTAAAAAAACATCAGGGAATGTAACATTGTTAAATATTTACTGCCTTTCACACACACAGGGGAACTATACGAAGGGAGAGCTTGAGGCCTAGGTCTAGGCTTTAGGCCTAGCTGTAGGCCTTAGGCCGCCGTGGGTTAATTGTTAATATAAATGTTTTAATTATTTATGTTGAAGCTTTAAATGTAAATGTTGCTATTTAAAAACATCAGGGAATGTAACATTGTTAAACATTTACTTTCTTTTCACACACACGGGGGAACTATACGAAGGGAGAGCTTGAGGCCTAGGTCTAGGCTTTAGGCCTAGCTGTAGGCCTTAGGCTGCCGTGGGTTAATTGTTAATATAAATGTTTTAATTATTTATGTAAAAGCTTTAAATGTAAATGTTTCTATTAAAAAACATCAGGGAATGTAACCTTGTTAACCATTTACTCCCTTTCACACACGCGGGGGAACTATACGAAGGGAGAGCTTGAGGCCTAGGTCTAGGCTTTAGGCCTAGCTGTAGGCCTTAGGCCGCCGTGGGTTAATTGTTAATATAAATGTTTTAATTATTTATGTTGAAGCTTTAAATGTCAATTTTGCTTTTTAAAAACATCAGGGAATGTAACATTGTAATTAAAAGCTATCTGAGGGAATTATAAGGGAATGCTACACTTGGTTAGCCAGGATAGCGTCACTGAGTCTAAATGTTTTTGTAGGGTCATGCCAAGTGTTTGCAGTAGGGGGCGATGTTGACACACGGACGGACGGACGGACAAACGGACGCACGATATAATCTATTGGAGTCTGGTCCACTTCGTTCCTACCAGAAGTGCATAAACCAATCTACTACGCCTCTTCACATGCGCGTGGAACGAATGATTATTGCATTCGTTCTAAATTTGTAGCTTTCGTGACTGCAATGATTCATACTCTTTGGTTTTTTCGGTAAAGTCACGTAGGTAAAACAATAATAATAAATAACTAAAACAATATAAATAATAAAATAACAAATCAGGGGGGAAGAGGGGGGCTTATCTGAATGTGGTTGCCGGGAAGTGGCGGGGGTGTCGGGGCTAAAAGAGAACAAATGAGCACATTAGCTCAGGGTTGTGGCCGGTGTTAGCTGATAGTAAGCATAAAAGTACTGGTAAACGCTGGGGATGTTAACACTCGCGAAAGTATAATATTACCTGTCAAATAAGATGGTACAAATATGTGTAGTTAAATATTTTTTACATGGTTAATAACATCTTTCCAATGATTACTCATTCGTGTTACTTAGTGCAGTAAATACGTGTTACTTATTGCAGTAAAAACAACTCATCGCATGAACCATCCTGCGCTCCTAGAATATCAACTCTGTCAATGCATTAAACGTAAGATTATATATTTTCTTTAAACATTCGACTGCGGAGTCACTTGAGTTGAATTTGAGTGGTGATGATTGTGCACCGTGCCTTCAAGGCGCGCGACCCTTCTGCAGTGCGTGAGCTACTCATCTCTTGCCACGTAAAATGTTAAACTTTCCATATAATGTCGGTTAATTTTGAGTAATTTTCTTCAGTTTGTTGTCCATCTGAAAATCCATAAATTTATTCATTTCAAAGTTCGATTAAAACGTCCAGTTAAAAGTTCGGTGACAAGGGACGATTGACATGGCGCGCAGTCCTCACCATAGCGCGAGAGGAGGAATCGCGAGCGCGCGAGGCAAAACTTAAATAGAAAATATTTTGTTGGAATTAAATATGAGTAGTCTTTTGAAGCATCTTGTCTTGCAAAAAATTCGAGTGCGTTTTAAATAGTGTTCATCAGTAACACTTTTGAAAACCGACAATCATCATATCTTGCCCTGACCGAACAATGTCTCCCAAATGTTGGTTGTTCACTTGTTTAGAATTATAATTTATATCGTGAGCATTGTCGTATATTGCATAAGTAACGTACATTAAAGAAGTGATCTTCGTGATGATGTATTAACTAGATGCATGTAAGTATGAACGTTACGGGAGTAATCGAGCCCAAAGGCAGGCGTGATAAACACAGTGAGTATGGAGGCAACTCCCTCACTAGAGCTGAGTGCTGGATGATCTCAGCGACGTCCGCTTTCAGTACGCCGCTTCTATAATAACCTCGGGCCTGGAGGACGCTCTGTTCGAATTCGTGAGAGCGCTGATTTCGGTTTCAAAGAGGCGAGGCGATAAAAGCGACGTCTTGAGATGGCGGAAACTGCTCCTGCTCAACCACCAGCTGCGGCTACTTCAGCGCCTAAAAGCCCCAAGAAGAAGCGCGCCGCTCCAAAGGCCAAGAAGGTCGGCCCCAGCGTGTCCGAGCTCATCCTCAAGGCTCTGGCCAGCAGCAAGGAGAGGAACGGCGTGTCTCTTCCTGCGCTCAAAAAGTCGCTTGCTGCCGGAGGATACGACGTGGAGAAGAACAATGCCCGCGTGAAGTTGGCCATCAAGAAGCTCGTGGCCAAAGACGCCGTGGCGCAAGTGAAGGGCAGCGGCGCGTCTGGCTCTTTCAAACTCAACAAGGAAAAGGCTGCCGCAAAGGCGAAGCCCAAGTCGTCAACGGCAAAGCCCGCAGCTAAAAAGCCCGCGGCAGCCAAGAAGGTGAAGAAGCCCGCGGCAGCCAAGAAGACCGCGCCCAAGAAGTCTCCCAAGAAAGCAAAGAAGCCCGCGGCTGCCAAGGCGGCCAAGAGCCCCAAAAAGGTGAAGTCGGCTGTTAAGCCCAAGAAGGCGGCGAAGAGCCCAGCCAAGCCCAAGGCTGCGAAGCCCAAGGTCGCTAAGCCCAAGACCGTCAAGGCCAAGGCCGCCAAACCCAAGGTGGCCAAGCCCAAGAAGGCCGCGGCCAAGCCCAAGAAGACTGCGCCAAAGAAGTGAATCCGATGGGACGACCGACGCTCGATTCACTCCACCTCAACGGCTCTTTTCAGAGCCACCCACTTCGTTAAAAAAGTGAACCAGATGCTGCTGCGCTTCAATTAGTTCAAATTAACTGTGTAACATTTCACCCACTCGATGTGTTTTAAGCATTGATGTGATGGGAGTGATCGAGCCCGAAAGCAGGGATCACAAACACAGGCGAGGCGGGTGGCAGCTCCCTCACTCGAACTGAGTGCAGAGTAATCTCAGCGACGTCAGCATTCTCGCTGGCGATTCTAATCTAAATCCAGATTCAAAATGATGCATTCTTGACGAATCTCCAATTTTGATTATGTGTTGCACCTCTTCATTCCGTCATCATGCTACTGGTGCCAAATATGGAATTTAGTCTAAAAATGTATTGATTCCAGACAGCTTTACTCAATTTGCCTTCATTCGCTCATTCCGCCTTTTCACTTTGTTTTTGTTTTGTAAACATTGCGGTGCACCATCTAAACTTCTATTAAAATTAATTTATATACGTAAATATCGCATTGTTTGCAATATCTTTCTTACTTTGGGAGAACTAGTTGGTGACGTTCACTCAACTATTGTATTATTCACTCCACGTGCAATCTTGCAACAGATGGCGTTCCTCTGGCGTTCGCTGCGGGTGTGCCAATATCATTCCAGAGTGCTTCGAAGAAGGGCCATTGCCCAAAGCGTCGCATATTATACATGTCAAGGAAGTGTTATTGACGACGGTGGAGGGTTTTCTTCGTCGCAGAGGTTAAAGGTGGAAGGTTTAAGGCGGAGCCATCGCGGAGGGCAGGGGTGGTCGGTGACGTCGCCACGCTTCGGGTATAAAGGCGGCTGCTGCTGCAAGCTGAGCGCGCAGTCTCTCGCGAGGAGCTTTGTCACAAGTAGTCGCAATGTCTGGACGCGGTAAAGGCGGTAAGGGGCTCGGCAAGGGAGGCGCAAAACGCCATCGCAAGGTGCTGCGCGACAACATCCAGGGCATCACCAAGCCCGCCATCCGCCGCCTCGCTCGCCGCGGCGGTGTGAAGCGCATCTCGGGCCTCATCTACGAGGAGACCCGCGGCGTCCTGAAGGTCTTCCTTGAGAACGTCATCCGCGACGCCGTCACCTACACGGAGCACGCCAAGCGCAAGACCGTCACCGCCATGGACGTGGTCTACGCCCTCAAGCGCCAGGGCCGCACTCTCTACGGCTTCGGAGGCTGAGCGCCCATCTCTCGCACACTAAGCCAACCCAAAGGCTCTTTTCAGAGCCACCCACCTCTTCGAAACTGCTTGCGCCAGTGTTGCCAAACACGCTCTGAATGGAGCACATGTCCTGGGTTGTTGTGAGCGTGCTGGACGTTCGCTTGTTGAGTTGGCGAGTCTTCATCTGCTTCCACATGAATGAATGAAAGAAATCATGATATTCACGTCACATTTAACAAGGCGTAATTCTTGAACGCCTTAATACAGTACCCATTTCTGGTATTTTGCGTGAATTATTTGCAGCTGCAGCCGATTCCGATATTACGTCGAGCATTTGGCGCCACAATCTTACAGCACACTCGTCCTAATTGACGGAGCGTGCCGGAATGCTAATCTCCACCTGTACAGCACAACAGCGAAGTTATTTTTCTCCACCGAGCGCTTGTATTTTTCCAAATTGCGTTCATAAAACGCCCGTGCGCCGTATTAGACGAGTGGTCAAACAATCCCTCGTAAGAAACAAAAAAACCCACGCTCAAAACACAATATACTGTATTGGGTTTTCTAGTCATCCTTTTTTAAACAAAGGCAATGCCATGGCTGCAATTCACTAATACACATGTTTGGACATTACATTGTGTTATATTCACCAGTCCTTTTTGCAGTAAAATCGATATTAAAGTGAACATCGCGTCCGCGTTTCTCATTGGAGGCTGATGGAGAGGGACGGTACTAAAAGAGCCACTCAGCAGCGCCGCGCACTACGATCCTCTGATTTGCATCTCGCCTCCTATAAAAGGAGCTCAACGCGCGAGCGACATCCACATTCGCTTCCCGTCTGTTCTGACCTGAAGCTGCTGCCTACGACGCGTCGACATGCCCGATCCTCCCGCATCAAAGAGCGCTGGGCCGGCCAAGGTTCCTGCTCCCAAGAAGGGCTCCAAGAAGGCTGTGACCAAGGCTACGCGCAAGGATGGCAAGAAGCGACGCCACCGCAGGAAGGAGAGCTACGCCATTTACATCTACAAGGTGATGAAGCAGGTGCACCCCGATACCGGCATCTCGTCCAAGGCAATGAGCATCATGAACTCGTTCGTCAACGACATCTTCGAGCGCATCGCTTCCGAGGCGTCCCGCCTGGCGCACTACAACAAGCGCTCCACCATCACTTCTCGGGAGATCCAGACCGCAGTGCGACTGCTGCTCCCCGGCGAGCTGGCCAAGCACGCCGTGTCGGAGGGCACCAAGGCCGTCACCAAGTACACAAGCTCCAAGTGAAGCCTCGACTCCACCATTAATTACAAAGGCTATTTTCAGAGCCACCCACCTCTCCGAACCTGCTTGTACCAGTCCTAGCAGGAGTACGAAACGAAACTTCCAACAAAGCCCCGGTTCACGCGGGGACATTGTTCGCTCATTGAGTGGAATGGAGAGATGGAACGCATTTTAACCTGTTTCCACGGGAATAAAAGCGATAACAATATTCATGGCACATCATATTCACCAGCAGGCATTTCTTGGACTTGTTTGTCCATTGATTTCATCTGCAGCCCATTCAGATATTACATTGGATATTTGGTGCCAAAACCTTGCAATGCAATATATTTAATTCGTGGTTGTATTTTCGGGCAGGAACTAACATTTTGCACGTGTGCATCTATGTAAAAGTAAGCGCCTAGCATGGATGACTTGCAGTATAATTGATGATCATCATCTCAATGCCAAGAGAATAGATATCTATCCCTGTGATCACCTTTCCGACATTTTTACGTATTAACTTTGGAGCTTTCGTGACTGCAGGAATTATTCTTTGGTTCTTTCGGTAAAGTCACGTATATAAAGAAACAAATTGGTGATATCTGTCTGCTTATATGTCTGTCTATAATTTTTTTCTGGTTAGATTTTACGTCGCTATTTCATTATGCTTGATGATTGCTTGTGTTGCAATCGAAACGTCGTATGCTATTATTTTTTCTTTATACGTGACTTTACCGAAAGAAACAAAGAATATTTTTTACGTATTACTGTTTCCAATGAAGCGCAGTTTCTGCACACTTTATTTAGATCACGCGGAGCACTGTAAAGTTGTCTTCGGAAAGGTGTTTGCTTGAGAAAATAAGATTCGTTAAAGACATGGACGGCGCTCAAACGGAACTACTGCATCGTGATGCGGCATTCTGCAATGCTCCAAAGTGAGAACATTTCGTTGATGAAGAAGAGTTGACGACTCGAGATCATTGCACGCTGCCAACCAATCAGCACGCGCCCCTTCTTCGCACGTCACGACTCCGCTGACCAGTGAGCGCGCGCTCTGGGCTACATAAGCCGCCTTCTCCTCCCCGCCTGTGAGAATCTTTGCCCTCACCAAGCCATGGCTCGCACCAAGCAGACGGCTCGCAAGTCCACGGGCGGCAAGGCCCCCCGCAAGCAACTCGCCACCAAGGCGGCCCGAAAGAGCGCTCCGGCCACGGGCGGCGTCAAGAAGCCTCACCGCTACAGGCCCGGCACCGTCGCTCTGCGCGAGATCCGCCGCTACCAGAAGTCCACCGAGCTGCTCATCCGCAAACTGCCCTTCCAGCGCCTCGTCAGGGAGATCGCGCAGGACTTCAAGACCGACCTGCGCTTCCAGAGCTCCGCTGTCATGGCTCTGCAGGAGGCCAGCGAAGCGTACCTTGTCGCGCTCTTCGAGGACACCAACCTGTGCGCCATCCACGCCAAGCGCGTCACCATCATGCCCAAGGACATTCAGCTCGCCCGCCGCATTCGTGGCGAGCGCGCTTGAACGCCCAGCTCGGCCCTCAAAGCACAACACAAAGGCTCTTTTCAGAGCCACCACTTACTCGTGAGAAAGCTTCCATGTGTGTCCTTCAAAGTTCGGGTGCCGGAAACCTTCGTTTGCTGGTCACGGCTCTCACGAGTCGTCAGGCGTAAGCGACAATCAAGTTCATTTTCTATACCCCGCCGCTCATATTCTTCAACATCACACGTTGGTGTTGTATATAAGCGTTGTGAAACCATGTTTACATAATGTACAACAAAAGGGTTATTTTGGTGAAATGTATTTTACCTCAGAGTCGCGTGGTGGGTGTGGAGGCCTAGCACCGTGCAGAGCCTCCCGCCTCGCCTGATTTTGCCAACCGGCTGACGCTGGGTACGGGTGCCGTTCCCCCCCCCCCCCCGCGCTTCAATAATACTGTGTAATCGCTATAATTTAATAATCTACCGACCCTATAATAGTAATAGCACACATTGTGGTGGGGGGGGGAGTAAAGAGGACGTGAAACTTAGATGAATTTACCTCAGAGTCGCGTGTTAATGCGTGCGCCTATTTTTAACGGGAATTAAAGATGGCGTCCGCCCCGCAACTGCTAGCCCGTCGCTAGCCGTTGCCAGGGGCAACCGGCGTCCAATGAAAGTGCGTATGGTCCGACATCCACACACAGACAGACAGACAGACATTCACGATTTTATATATATAGATTAAACCCAAAGATATTGGTGTATGCTGTTTCAAGCCCGAGCTGATAAGAAGTTCACATTTTGCAAACTGAGACTGAATTATTCACGCACATATATTTTTAGGCATTGCCCGAACAGGCGGTTAAAGGAATATATATATACACCGTATAGGCACGTGGGCGATCAATCACGAGCTCAAGGCTATCACAATGATTTCTTATAACCAATGCGGTCCCTCAAAATGATGATTATAATCAATAATACATTGATATTTGCGGAATCCGCTTATAAGTTTGACTTGCCAGCACGCGCCCATAAATTAACTCTATCATGCTTAAAACTTTAACCTATTAAGTACGTGTATCGCATGGTTTAATTCATAAGATGCGTGTGCGCATTAAAATATATATGGATACAAATAATGAAAGTCAACATCGAATCCTCGCGTCCCGGCTTGTCATTGGTGGCTCAAGGAGAGGGCGGGACTCGAGCGAGAGGAGCCAATCAGCAGCGGCGCGCTCTACGATCCTCGTCTCCGCTATAAAAGCCGCTCCCGTGGTGCGTGTTAACGTCACAAATCGTTCGTACTTTGTCTCCAGTGCTTTTTGCATCCTAGGTCCCTTAACGATGTCTGGACGCGGCAAGACCGGTGGCAAATCTCGCGCCAAGGCAAAGTCCCGCTCTTCCCGCGCCGGCCTGCAGTTCCCCGTGGGTCGCGTTCACAGGCTGCTCCGCAAGGGCAATTACGCCCAGCGGGTCGGCGCTGGAGCACCCGTCTACCTGGCCGCCGTGCTCGAGTACCTTTCTGCCGAGATCCTCGAGCTGGCTGGCAATGCCGCCCGCGACAACAAGAAGACGAGGATCATCCCCCGACACCTGCAGCTCGCCGTGCGAAACGACGAGGAGCTCAACAAGCTCATGGGCGGCGTGACTATCGCCCAGGGCGGTGTGCTGCCCAACATCCAGGCCGTGCTGCTGCCCAAGAAGACCTCTCAGGCAAAGAAGTGAACGCGCCGCCGCCTCTACCACCACAACAACGGCTCTTTTCAGAGCCACCCACTTGCTTGCAAAGAGCTCGGACAGTAGTGCACAGGGGTTTTGTTATTAATAAGGACACCGTCGTCGAGTTGCCCTCGTCCCAAATTGCACGCAATTAAACGAATTCTCTGCTCATTCCAGATACCCTTTATATCTAATTTAGGAACGGTATTTGAGCAGCATTCCAACATTGCATCAATCATGGAACATGGTTTAGAATAAATTGAGGTGCCTATTGGAAGAAAGTATCGTGTTTTTTTAAAGAATAAAACTCGCTCTTTTTGAGTGGTCAGATTACATATGAAGAGGAGTCGGAGAATGGTTCAAGCACTTCAAGGGATCTGCGAGCCACCCTCACGCACCACGCACCACGAAAACACGACATCTCCGCTCTCACAACACGCACCAATCAATCTTAATTTTTTTTCACACACGCGCGGGAAATAAGAGCCGGACAGGGGGGGTCAGGGGTTAAAGGGCAGTGACGTCACCCGGACCAGGCGTGCTGGATGCGAATGTGTATTGGGAGCGGAGATTGAGGAGTTAAAAGGGGCTGTGGGACGTGTGCCCGGGGTTGGTCTTGGAACGAATATTGCTGTGCGTTGGTGAAAACAGGTCCCTGTGGGGTGGCTGGTAGGACCGAACAATTGAATGGCTATAATAAAATGAAATGGCAAAAAATGGGCGCCAATAAGTAGATGGAAACGTAGACGGAGTGGAACATAAGAAACAATAAAGTAGTAGTAACCGTTCTGCAAAAAAATAATAGTATTGCACAAGTATGTACCTACGTGAGTGCAGCTTGGAGCAGACACAGTGAGTAGTAACAATCTGCACGAGATGCAGCGCCGTGGGCCACGCCCCTATCACTGTTAGCCCCGCCTCCTCGCCCCCGGTACTGTATTCTCGACTGTAGACTCCGCCCCTTTTCGCCAACGGCCCCTCCCTCCATCGCGCTAAGCTCCGCCTCCCACCGCTTGACCCCGCCCCGCTCCCCCGTGGCCCCGCCCCGCACCCCGTGGCCCCGCCCCCTGCCGCTGTAGCCCCGCCCCCTGCCGCTGTAGCCCCGCCCCCTGCCGCGTATCCCCGCCCCCTGCCGCTGTAGCCCCGCCCCCTGCAGCTGTAGCCACGCCCCCTGCAGCTGTAGCCCCGCCCCCTGCCGCTGTAGCCCCGCCTCCTGCCGCTGTAGCCCCGCCCAATACACCCCGAGCGGGGGAGAGTTTCCCAGGCCTGGCTCGGCTGGAGAGCCGCCGACGAGGGGGGGGAGGTAGGGAGTTGTTTTTAATGAAAAAGCTTTAAATGTAAATGTTTCTATTAAAAAACATCAGGGAATGTAACATTGTTAACCATTTACTCCCTTTCACACACGCGGGGGAACTATACGAAGGGAGAGCTTGAGGCCTAGGTCTAGGCTTTAGGCCTAGCTGTAGGCCTTAGGCCGCCGTGGGTTAATTGTTAATATAAATGTTTTAATTATTTATGTTGAAGCTTTAAATGTCAATGTTGCTATTTAAAAACATCAGGGAGTGTAACATTGTAATTAAAAGCTATCTGAGGGAATTATAAGGGAATACTACACTTGGTTAGCCAGGATAGCGTCACTGAGTCTAAATGTTTTTGTAGGGTCATGCCAAGTGTTTGCAGTAGGGGGCGATGTTGACACACGGACGGACAAACGGACAAACGGACGCACGATATAATCTATTGGAGTCTGGTCCACTTCGTTCCTACCAGAAGTGCATAAACCAATCTACTACGCCTCTTCACATGCGCGTGGAATGAATGATTATTGCATTCGTTCTAAATTTGTAGCTTTCGTGACTGCAATGATTCATACTCTTAGGTTTTTTCGGTAAAGTCACGTAGGTAAAACAATAATAATAAATAACTAAAACAATATAAATAATAAAATAACAAATCAGGGGGGAAAAGGGGGGCTTATCTGAATGTGGTTGCCGGGAAGTGGCGGGGGTGTCGGGGCTAAAAGAGAACAAATGAGCACATCAGCTCAGGGTTGTGGCCGGTGTTAGCTGATAGTAAGCATAAAAGTACTGGTAAACGCTGGGGATGTTAACACTCGGTAAAGTATAATATTGCCTGTCAAATAAGATGGTACAAATATGTGTAGTTAAATATTTTTTACATGGTTAATAACATCTTTCAAATGATTACTCATTCGTGTTACTTAGTGCAGTAAATACGTGTTACTTATTGCAGTAAAAACAACTCATCGCATGAACCATCCTGCGCTCCTAGAATATCAACTCTGTCAATGCATTAAACGTAAGATTATATATTTTCTTTAAACATTCGACTGCGGAGTCACTTGAGTTGAATTTGAGTGGTGATGATTGTGCACCGTGCCTCGATCTTGTTCAAAGCGCGCGACCCTTCTGCAGTGCGTGACCTACTCACCTCTTGCCACGTAAAATGTTAAACTTTCTATTTAATGTCGGTTAATTTTGAGTAATTTTCTTCAGTTTGTTGTCCATCTGAAAATCCATAAATTTATTCATTTCAAAGTTCGATTAAAACGTCCAGTTAAAAGTTCGGTGACAAGGGACGATTGTGTGGGGGTCGCTAGCCCCCGAAATCCCTCCCTCGATAATGCTAACGGCCGGGCTAGCATCATCAATCGCCCCCCCGCTGCTAAGCGAACCGCTGCTAAGTTCCTCACCCATGGTGTGGGAGCCGTCGCCCGAGGGTTCCACTCCACCGCGGGTCCGCGTAGCAGGCATGGTTAATTACGTACGCGCACACCCACACACACAGCTCTGTACGGCACTCACTCTTGCGCTTCTCTGCGCCGCGCTGGCCGCTCACGTTACAATCGCGCACCTGGGGTACGCCGATTACGCACGCCGCGAGCTTACGCACACACAGTACCACACGCGTTCCCACACGCAACCCGCGCGCTCAGCTCCGCGCAGCGCTCACTCACGTGGCGAACCACTGTGCACACAGCGCACCCACACGCTCACACTGCACGACAAGATCACGCGAGACCACGCTTCGCTATTAATGATTTATTATATGCCACCTGCGAATTGATGTTGAATCAGTGAGTCGACGAGGCTGGCCTATTCCACTAAACCTGTACCTATTCCCTATTTATCGGCTATGATTCTAATTCCCCTTCTTACTCACTGTTAAGTGTCCACGGCGGTCCGCTGATCCTTCTGTTAACCGCGTGCCTCGGTGCGTCTCACGGACGTCCGGGTCGCTGGCTCGAGCTGCGTCTGGTCGCCTGGCGCTGGAGTAAGAGAGCGATTTCCCCTCTGCGCT